TTTTTTTTTTTTCTTTTTTTTTTTCTCTTTCTCTCTTTCACAGTGCTTCTACTTTAATTTGCATGAGTGAAATTACTGTTTGAGTGTGTGCACATTTATGTACGGTTATACATACATATATAACTATACCGGCATGTATTACAAAAATTGAAGGGTGAAAAGAAAAAGGAAAAAAAAAAAAGAAAATGTTTTCAGCAAAAAAACACAAATAAAAAAAAATGATTTAATGCTTTTAATAGAAGAAATAAATAGCATCAGAAGCAATACAAAAAAAAAAAATAGATATTTATGCATTCCGAACGAAAAACGAACAACTCGGGTAATTTTGTTTGGATTGTGATTAATCAAATGAGCATTGGAAAATATGTTTTTCTTTTTTCTCTTTCTTCTCCGGCGAATTGGAATGAAATTTTTTGTTTTATTAGATTTTTTTTTGTTCTTTGATTCTTTCCTTTTCTTTTTCAGTTTATGGTTTGAGTTTTATCTCCATCAGCTTACTAGGTACCGCTTAGGGTAATGAGAAAAAGCAAAAATGTGCTTCAACTGTTTTTTTTTTTTTCTATTGACTCTATGTGGTTTCTGTGTTTTTCCTTTTCCTTTGATTTCCATATATCTACGTTTTTCACACTCTTTTTGCCATCGCGCATTTTGTATATATATATATATATATATATATTTGATAAGAAGGAAACTTTTTCTTTTTCTTTTGTGACTTATGGTTACCACGGGTGTGTGTATTCCTGTACTGGTTGAGTACTAGAGCGAAGAGAAAAAACCGAAGGGATGAAGTGGAGTAAAAAAAAAAAAAAAGGAATTTTGATGAATATGTGGTGGTGAATGGTATGTGGAGGTCTTCTGGTATACGAAGAAGAAGATGGCAAAAGAAGATAGAATGGTAAAAGTGTCGTTAACGAGGTGACAACGAAGGTAATAATAGCAAAGAAAGAACAACGAGAAAACGAGAAAAAAAAAACAGATGTGAAGAGAAACAAAAAATAATCGGAAAAGTACCTTGTGTATTTTTCTTTTTTTGTTCTCACTTTTTTTTCTGCTCCTCTCATTATGTACTATTTGTTCTTCGTTATTGTTACGTCTCCGTTCGTTACTATCATTACCTTCTTCTATTCTTACTTCTATATTGATTTTTTTTTTCCAATTTTTTTTTTTCTGAATTGTTTATTTTTCGCTCTTGTTTCAATCCTCTTTCTTCGACCCTTTCCTCCACTCCTTGCTGTAATTTTTCAGAAAAAAACAGAAAAAGGGATGTTTTTTCTCGCTTTCTTTCATTGTTCCGGGTTTACAACAATGAATGGGCAATCTTGGAATTATGGAAGGAATAACAGCCAGGAGAGGTATGGGTCAGAATAACGTATTTTCATGAGCCCATATATATATATATATATTATCTGTTTTGTTACCCTTTACTCCCCATCCTTTTGGTTTTTTTTTTTTTTTTATCATGTTTGATGTAGAAAGAGTTTATTTCTCTGTTTTTTTATTGTCCTTTTTCTGCCTTGCCCTTTGTGAAGGGTTGGAAATGAGGTAGAATCCACTCAAATTCTCTGTTGTCGGTATGAAAATTCATTTTTTTTCCCCCCTTTTTTTCTTCATTCCTTATTGAGAGTGTCTTCTCAACCTGTTTTATGGTTCTCGTGAACACATTCTTTTTCCTTCTTACGCTTTCCCCTCTTTCAAATTTTCCCAATCGACTTTTTTTTTTCGTTTTTTTTTTTCTTTTTCTTGTTACTTCTACTTTATGCCCAAACCACTACGAAAATTATTTTTTTTTCTCTGTTTGTGAAATTTACCTTGTTTCTATTTCTTTTTTTTTTTTTTTTTTTATCCCTTTCCTTCTATTTCTTTTGGTATGAAGGCGCTATCCCTCTTAACATTTACATAAGAGAGGTGCCTGTGGAAAGGGGAGTGTATCTCTGTGCGCTGCGCTGTGCAGGCATTTGTTTTTGCCCCGAGGTCCCTACAGTCCATATATATATAGTGCTGGTTTATAGGGTCTACAGCGCAAAAAGAAAAGGAAAAAAAAAACATACACTCACACAAACAAAAGGTAAGCGAAAAGGAAAAAAAAACAATAAACAAAAAAAAAAAAAAAAACAAAGACGGCCTCTACATAGAAGACGAGGCGAAAGAAAAAAAAAAACACATACAGTATAAGGTTGTGGTATCATTAGAAGATGTCAACTACGGTGAAGCGTGAGACACGCAAAAGACCAGCTGCTCCAGTCAGCAACAAGAACAAGAATAATAATAATAATAATAATAGCAACAACAACGCTGGATGTTATGGTACGACCGCGGGCTCCTCCTTTACAGAGTCTAAACGTGTGTTGGCACCACGTACCCGACGGCCGGCGGGAAAAGTAGTCGCCAGAAGGCGGAGTGAGTCTGCACTTGTTCTCGCACTTCGTGCGCACTTTCCACCTCTCCTGCAGCTTCCACATGCGAAGGAACTATATCCCGCTATTCAGGTGAGTGGGGCTGTTAAGGGTGTAGAGCCGTATGCTGTCTCTGGTACCAAATTACTCTCTGTTGGGGATAGTGCAATTGCAGGAATGTATTTGCGACAATTACGAGCCTCCTGTGCCGTGTTTGGTTCAAGAGGGATATCAGGAGGTGACGGTGGTTGTGGTGGGACCTCTTCAAGTAGTGGTGTTGCACCAAATAGTAATAATAATAATAACAACAACAATGGAGGAAGCAGCGGTAACGCCAATAATACAAACAATAGTACTAGCTGTGACTCTTTATGCTTAGAAGCGGGATATAGCTTCTATCATAGTTTATATGAACTACAGAGGTGGCTTTTTTCGGGTGGAGGTTCTATTCGTGGTGAACGACCTAAAATTGCAAATAACGCATGGCAAGCATTTTTTTGCAGGAGGAATCGTTCATGGCGTACCCTTTTAGCTGCATTAGACTCTGATATAATTATGGCAGATGAGAACGCAGCATCAGGATTGCTTACAGTGTTATATAATCTTTTGCGTACCACAACTGGTGGACGCCGGAGGCGGGTAGTGAGGATGTGCATTCGATTTCGTCTCCCTCGGCAGTGTGCTTCTATCCTTGAAGTGTATGAAAATGCCTTGACAACCGCCGTAGGAGTTCAACTTTCAAGTAGGAGTAGCAGTAGTAGCATCACTAGTAGTAGTTGTTGTAGTAGTAAAGGTGTTAAAGGTAGTCTTATGCTTCATACTGAAGGTTTCTCCACTATGAGTGGAGTTAGACGAGATTCTCAGTATATACATTCATTACCGTTTTCTTTAACACGGATTGTTGAAGGGGTTGCGGTATTGTTGGGTTTTTGCAGTACTGAGAATACAAAAGTTCTGACTGCAGTACGTCGTACAAATACTTTACCTCTACTACTACATGCGGCTAATTTACTCTTCGTCGTTGTTGAAAACAATGTAACTTGTTTGGGATCATTTCTACAAGGTGGTGCTACAGCTACAGGCGAAGCTAGTGAAACAGGAATACTTTTTGATAGTGATAGTACTAAACGTATTGAATTCATTATTGGAGGATTTTTACCAATTTGTGATGCTTTTCTCCATGTGATTTTATCACTTTATCAACTTTCAGTTTCATCACAAAATGCAGAATTCATGAGTACTCGAGGTGCTGTGCTATGTTTAAAGGTTGGTTGGATGGTACACGCATTTCTTACTACTATGGCACCTTTACGGTCATTTTATAATTTGGATTATCATCGTCAGCAAGAGCGACAACAACAAAAATTTCCAGCTCTTTGGTCTTTGCAAGACTCTCTTGAGACTCTCGCCGTTTGGTCTATGGAGCTACTTTGCCGAATTTGTACTGTGAAAAAAGGAAGCAAACCTGCACTTGAGGTGGCACACCAGATGCGTGCCGTTTGGTTACTATCTGCGTTAAGTACACATTCAACTGCCTCTGCAGAAATTGTACTATCCTCTCTTAACGCTCTAAATGCCCTAACGGCTAGGGATAGCTGTTGTCGAGATCAGCTACAGAATGAGATTGGAGGTTTATCTGCTCTTGTAAATGGTGTTATTTCTGCCGCTGATGGGGCAGGTCGCTCCGTGGCCCATTGGCAGAAATTATACCTCTCCCTCTACGCCCTCTTCGGCATTGTGACGCTGCCTGGAGAGATGCCCGCCGCCCAGAGTGATGGTCGCTCCGTCCGCGCCGTTTCCACTTCGTCCCTTCCACACACTTCACACACGACAGCAGCTGCAATGACGCCACAGGAGGCGGACAATGTTTGCGGCGGCTCATTGTCGTTGACGTCGTCGACGTCGTCGTCGGTCCTTCCGATCGACCGGCAGCCGGACGTCTTCTCGCCGGAGTTGCACCCCGCCGCCCCCGCCGAGTCGTCCCCCTTCGCCCCACCGCCCCGACTGCCGTGGCACTTCACAGACGCCCACCCGCCGCCCTCCCGCGAGATCACCGCCCACGTGATTTCCGAAGCGACGACGGGAGTCGTCGACACGCCCGCGCGGCTCCTCCCACCGCAGTCACCGCTGCCGCTGCAGACACCAGCGATGCCGGCACGTGTGCGTGTACTGCGGCGTCTCATTCAGCGCCTCACCTCCTCGCTCTCTAACATGGAACGAATCGTATACGAACGTCCCCCACTTCAGGCAAGAGTGGATGAGGAGGGACAGAGGGAGGGAGAAGAAGCGGAGGAGGGGCAGAAGACTACAAGTGAGGTAAACACAGTAGGATACGAGGAGTACGTGCCATCGGAATCCAAGAGAGGAGGAATGCCATCAAGGTTTTTAAGGTTTGGAGCGAACTTTGAAAGTGGTAACTTGCAGCGTGCGATTGCTGTGAAGGAAAATGAGTATGATCTTGTATTAAGCCCAGATACCAATACTAACTGTCATATACAATGGTTTTGTTTTAGTGTAGAAGAATATACACCTGGTGCAGAATACCATTTTAATATTCTTAACATGGAAAAACCTGGTTCCACATTTAATGAAGGACAGCAACCACTTATGCTCTACGTGGACACTTCATCTACCGTAGGTAAAGAAACTAACGTGCTTGAGTGGAAGCGTTGTGGTTATGATATTTTTTATTTTCAAAATTTGTATCAACGTCCAGAGCGATGTACAACTACAACTACAACTACAAGTGTTCCCGATCCTCTTGAAAATACGTGTCGAACTGGTGTTGGATCTACAGGAGATGGTGAAAAGAAGGTAAATGGAATGCAAAAAACTTCTAAAAAATCAACAAAGAAAAAATCTAATAATACAAAACCCTCTTCAAATGAAAAAGAGGAGAAGATATCATTCTGTTATTCACTATGTTTTACTGTGGTATTCCCTGAGAAGAAGGGTAGGGTATTTTTAGCTAATTGTTTTCCTTACACTTATACGAACCTTCTTGCAGATGTACAAAGATGGCAATTGCAATCTAGTACATCTGTTGCTGTATCGATACAGGAACTTTGCCGAACTCCAGGTGGACTTCCAGTTCCAATTCTTACTATAACAACACCAGTAAACTCTGTTATTGGTAGTAGTAATAATGCTGGTGGGGGAACTGGAATTGGAGTTTCTGACACTACCACTACTACAAGTACTACTACTACTACTACTACTACTACTACTACTACCAACAACAATAATAATAACAACGTAGACAACGGAAATAAGATCCTAGATGATGCATCTGATTCTCTTCTTTCCATTACAGTTGACAAACGTCCAGTGTGTATTGTAACAGCACGAGTACACCCTGGTGAAAGTAATTCTAGTTGGATGCTACGGGGACTTGTGGAATATCTTCTTCATGATGAGGAACAGGGGCACTCTCTCCGAAGTCGTTTTGTGTGGAAAATCATTCCTATGCTTAATCCAGATGGTGTTGTATTGGGGAATCATCGTTGCTCACTTGGTGGAGCTGACCTAAATAGAGATTTTGCAGATCCTAAACCAACTGTGAATCCTGTTATTTACTCCCTTAAGCGGTTAACACAACATATTATTGAACGAGAGAAACGTCATGTGGCTCTCTATGCAGATTTTCATGGACACTCACGCGCAAAGAATTTTCTTATATATGGATGTACACCCCACAATAAAACAGATGATAAAAAACCACCTACTGGTAAAACTACTGTAACAAACAAAGCATCATCATCTCCAGTTGTTTCTACTGTCAATTCTACATCTAGTAATCGTAAGCGTTTTTCTGGAGGTTCAGGATCGTTGTGTACTAATTTCATTCCTGTAGAAAAACTTCTTCCTTTACTTTTAAGTACACTTTCTCCTGCTTTCTCGATGTCACAGTGTTCTTTTGCAGTACAAAAAAGCAAGAAAAACACTGGTCGAGTGGTAATGTACCAGCAGTTTGGTATTCGTATGAGTTATACTTTAGAAGCCACTATGATGGGTGGATTATCAGATGGTGTTAGTTGTCATAACAGTACCACCTTACAGAAAAGTAACACTAATGGGAATAGATGTTTATTGTATAAACAACATCAAAGACAAGGTGGAAATGAAAATGAAGACGAAGAAGAAGAAGAGAAAGAGGAAGAAGAAACATCACGTGATCTCTATCCACAAGAGATTTCATACACCACTTGTCACTACGAAAACATGGGAGCATTATTAGCCCACAGTCTTGAGCTTCTTGCAGGGGATGATGACGGTATAGATGCCTTCGATAAAGAAGCTATGGAACGTGCATGGTCTTTGCTTCCTTCAATAGGTGGTATGGATACCTCCGTGAACCTGAAATCTCCCCTTATGGGAGGATCATATGCCTTTGCAACTCGTAGAGAAAGACGTTCTGATGCTAGTAAGACGAAGAAGGAGAAACCAACCACTACAAGTAGTGGATCAGTGGGAACAATATCTCTTGGACTCTCAGTGGAACAGAGGGGAGAGATACGGCGTGCGTTATTCTCACGACGACGACTCTCTGGTGTTCAATTGACGACGGGCAGCACATCACTTGTGGGTGTTGACAGCGGTGCTTATGATGAAGTTGGAGATGATGAAGATGATGAGGACTCTGTGCCTCCTGTGGAGGATGATGATGATGACGAGGAGGATGAAGAAGACGATGACGATGATGTGGAAGAGGAGGATGAAGAGGATGACAATGAGGAAGATGAGGAAGATGATGATGAGGAGGAGTCTGAGAAAGGTTGATATGGTTTTGATGTACAGATGGTGTTATATTGGGCGCGAGGAATTGGAGAAGAATAAAAAGTTATTTTTAATAATGGCGATGAAAGAAGTGAGAAAGGCGAGGGTGCAATCAAGTCACTAGAGACTCTGAGCTTTGCGGAATGTAAAAGAAAAGAAAAAGAGATAGAGAAGAGATACAGGAGCGACAGTTTCACTCTCAGGAGGAGGAAAAGATTCTTCGTTGCATGTAACAACAATTTTTTCCTCTTTTTTTTTTACTCAACTGACTAGGATCTATTTATTTTTTATTTTTATCATTTCTTTTTTTTTTTTTTATGGTTTTGGTTTTTATTTTTTTTTTTAGATGAGAGTTTTNTGATTACAAGTAGAAACATGAGGGGTACATTACCACCAGCAAGATCGTAATAAGAAGAAAAACAAAAAAAAGAAGAATACCAGTGGAATCATTTTTTTTTTTTAATGATATCAGCAAATAATAAGGGAATACAACACAGTGCAATTCATAGTCATATATATATATATATATATATATATATGTCCTTCATATAGTTCATTGGCACGCAGTTTTAGAATATGATTGGTAGTGATTGGCTTAGTGCAACTTCTTCAGATACCACCTCCAGTGGATGTCATACTGTAGCTCAGAGCAGCAGTGTTGATGTTACATCGGCTGGAGTTAATTCGTCGGTGACTAGTGAGCCTCCATTAAGTAAAAGTCAACGTTTTTTCGTTGGACTTGGAATTAGTGGTATGGCTGCTTATATTATTTATTCTATTTACCGAAGTGGTTCTAGAGGTCCTCCTCAACTTCTTTGGGGAGCTTTACCAAAAACGAAAGAGAATGGAGACCGGTTACTATCTCAGGTAGGCTTAGAAAAAAACATGGCTAGGCCTACTCTTGCTATGGTAAACTTTCCAAAAGAAATGCGAGGACGATTTGAGCGATCGTTTCATCCTTTGATTGATTCTGCGGAACTACATTTGGTTTATGCATCTGTTGTATTTTATCATGATACAATGGAGATTAAACCGAGTAATTTGGCAGCAGTAGTACGAGAAGAAGTCCTTGCCGCATTTGATAATTTAGGAGGTACTCCTTGCGCGGTTTACCGTTCTGCCCTTGTAGTAGATGATGAGTGTGTAAACCCTTTTTGGAGTGTGAGTGAGGCTATGAAGGCTACACAAGGTCACACGTTCTTTGAGCGGCACTGTATTGGCTACACAGTGGATGGTAGAAGAGTAGAAACAATATTTCACGATATCCATGGGACAGTTAATGCTGCAACTGTTACTGGTGATAATAATAATCATAATAATAATAGTAGTGGTAGTAGTATTAGTGGTGGAGGTCGTTGTGCTTCTGCTGTTGCTGCTTTGATTCCTCCTACGGCGAAATTAGATCTTTATATTAGTGAGGTGGAAGATGCGTTACGACGCTGTTTTGGGGCCACCACAAACACATTTGCAAAGAATAGAGAAGGATATTTGGAAACTCTGGAGCGTCGCGCACTCTCTGGTTCTACAAAGTCTATGCAAGGTCCATATGCAGAGTCTATTGATGTGTTGTGGTTAAGTCCTGTACCGTTGTTTGCGATGTTTGCAGTCGCATTGCGTTACAGCCGTGTGGAGTTTGACGGATGGAGATTGCTTGCGGAACCTAACAATGATAGTGGTATGATACCTCGTTGGTTATGGCAAAAATTTAGGCGTTGGTGGTACGGCAGAAAATCGTCTAGTGTAGATGAAATAGAGATGAATCAAGAAGAGCTGCTGAAGCAGCATCTGCTGAGTGAGACGTTTTTCTTGGAGATTGAGATTTGTCAAGACGTAAATTTGTTTCAGTCAAATCACTTTAACACATTGCGAGAAGCATTGGGACATAAGGATGCGAATGATAATAAGGATGACAAAAAAGAGAAGACGAAGAAGAACAACAAGAACAGTAACAAGAACAAGAATGGGGACAATAAAGGTACAGAGTATCTTGTAATTAATAGTACTTTACCTATTAGTGGTAGTAAAGGTGCTATTCTTCGCTGTCGCTTAAGTCCTGGTTTAACTGTCTTTCAGGCCTTTCGTGAGGCGTGGCGGTTGTCGGCGTTAGTGGCATGTTTAAACTATGATGTACGATGTTTCCGTCTTCTTACTGCTGTGAAGAGTTCACCACCGTCATGCTCTTTACAATCACCGCCTTATCTTTCATTGTATCCAGTCTCAGCAGAAGATTTGGAATTGGTGGGTCCACCTTCCTTCTCTTCTTCACAGTATTTTTGTTTGCTCGATAACGGCAGTCGTCTAGGGGCGGCGGAGGCATTCAAATACATCCGCGAAAAAAATGTTCAGGAACTACATTATGTTCTCGCGGAGTACGTGATGCCGGAGTTATCTCAGGATGAGTAAAATAAAAAGTTTTTATTTTATGGATATAATAAAACAAAAAAAAAAAAAAACTCAAATAAACATGGAGGGAAAGGTGAAATTCTTCATAGGTTCTTGAGAAGAGATTCGAGAAGAGGTAATGGGTGACAAACAAACAAAAAAAAAAAGGAAGAAAATATAGGTGATATTGTTGTTGTTGTTGTGTGTTTCTGTGGCTATGGAATGGTCCATATATTTATATTTATAATTTTTTGAACATATCTTGAAACATTTCTCTCTAAAACTATTCTTTATTGTTATTTTTTATTTTTCTCTTTCTTTCTCACTTTTTTTTAAAAAACTCCTTATTACCCCCTTTTTCTAAATAAAAAAAAAAAGAAAGAATAAGGGGTACGGGTAGATGTCTCGTTCACTTCTTCTGGTGTTACTTTTTCTCTTCTGCTGTGGAGGTGCTCTTGTGGTGGATGCGAACATTCATCTCCGTGTTGTAAACGACACCCGGCGGGTAATTTACATCGGCTCCTTCGCCTTCGGCCCACAAGGGGCTGTGCGATTAGAAACACGGAAGTTTGCGGCCCCAGCAGAGATGTATACAACAGAGAACGCAAAGGCACCTGTATTGATGCCAACAGCTCCAGTAGGATTTATATTGATTCCAGTAGAGAGTGTTAGTGCCGCCCGCATGTATGCACGTTATGGACGTGGTGAAGTCGGGACTCCGCTACACGTAGACATTGGTAATGGTTATGCAAGTCGAGTCTGTTTTATTAAAGATCCATTATTAGGATTACAAGAAGAAAAACAGAATCGTATGCTTTTCCCATTTGAGGGTCTTTCTTCTGAAGATATTCTTAAAATGCCATCTACATACTCTGCTGACCGTATTGGTCTCTATGCTGTTTACTTTTATAACTGCGCTGATATGCCAGATAATGGTGAACCTGTACATCTCAGGACACTCCCGTTAAGGCCTATTTCGTTTGATATTTATTTTGAATTGTATTGGATGAATGGAGAACATAATAGAGTATATCTTTCTTATGGTCGTGAAGGATTGCCAAATATGTTTACTTTCTTTGGAGTTGTTTTTTTGATTATGGCGTTACTTTGGATATTGCAAGTCTTTCGAGAATGGATAAATGTAAAAAAGATACATTTACTTATGCTTTTACTTGTTGTTATCAAGATGGGAACACTTTTTATTGAAAGTATGAAATTACAACATTTTTCAAAAACAGGTAAGGTATCAATGTGGGATTTTTTCTTTTATATAACTGTTACACTAAAAGGTGTAATGCTGTTCGGAGTAATTTTATTGTTAGGTGTGGGTTGGTCGTTGCTTCGTGATCATCTTAGTTCTACAGACAAACGTATTCTCCTTGTTGTACTTCCATGTCAAGTGATGCTTAATGTGTGCTGGGCCATCATTGAAGAAACGAGTGAAGGGAATCGTAACTGGTCTACTTGGCTTGATATTTTACAAATTCTAGATGTAATTTGTTGCTGTTGTGTACTGTTTCCTCTTATTTTAACTATTAAAAAAATACGAGAAGCGGGTAGTACAGATGAATCTACTGCCCGTACCGTAACTCGAATGAGAGAATTTCGTACTTTTTATATTGTGGTAGTGGCTTATATTTACATTACCCGCATTGTGTTGATAATGGTGGCGAATGCCGTCTCTTATGATAAGGCGTGGATAGCAGAAGCGGGAGCGCAGATGGTGGCGGTTCTTTTTTATATTTTCTGCGGTTACAGGTTCCGACCCAAGATACGCATAGCTGCCACTCCTTATAGTATACTGCAACCAGTAGAGGTGATGGTGGTGGATGCAGAGTTAAAGGATTGTGAACTGAGTTCAAGGAATAGTAAGAGTACGTCGTCATTTATGAAAAGTTGACGTATCTCTTTATTAATTCATTAATTTGTTTGTTTGTTTGTTTATTTTGTGTGTGCGTGTGTGAGACAGGGTGTTTTTTTTTTTTTTTTTTTTTTGGGAGTACAATTTTTAGTGAGGTCCTTTAGTGGAGTCATTATTAAATGGAGCGCGATTCTCCCTTTTGCTATTTTTCTCTGTCATTGGTAGACACCTTTGTTTTCTTACGAAGATGATGTCTCCCTTCATCAAAGAAACACACACCCATACAGACAAATAAATAAATACGAATATGCTCGTCGTTTTTTTTTTTTTCTGTTTTTTCGTTTTTTGTTCTTTCTCTTCTTTGAATTCCTTCATGCATTGTCTGTATGTTGATGACTGTATATATATTTTAATTTTGAACAAGGTTATTGTAGAATCAATGTGTTGTAGTCTGTTCTTGCTGTTGTTGTTGTTGTTGATGTTCTTCTTGTTATTATTTGTAATTGTCACTTTTTTTTTTTTTTGTTAAAGCCATTGCTGTGTCATTCCCTTCATATATCTTTACTAGAAGGCTTAAATGATTCAAATAAATCCAACTGACATAAAACGTGACAATGCTTTTTTAACCATATCAGACGTTAAGTGGTTAGGAAAAAATATTTTTGTGGTTAATGTGATGAACTATGAGAAACAAATATCCTGCGAATTAACAGCTGTTGATATTCCACGAGGCAGTGCAGAAGAACTTGAGAGTGTGATTGATGCCGTGTTAAGGTGCATACATAATGCCACGAAGAAGTACCTTCGTCAAGATTTTTATTCTGAATTCCCTCTTCAAGGATATGGAGATATTATCTTCTTAATGAATGGATGGTATGATAACCAAGAGGGAAATATGCAGTGGATGTCACTTCAAGAGGTATTATTACGTCTTGGTGTTGGTCGAATTGTGCGTCCTATTATGATACGTCTAGAGAATCTTATTGAAGCGGAGATGCATACAGGAGGACGTTTATTGTTTGGTAATGGAGAAGAAAAGAATTCTATTATCTCGTGTGATTGGGGAAAGAAAATGTTGGAATATGAGAATAGTCCGTTGTTCTGTGAAGTACGTACAGGTCGTGTTGTGGATATATTCCGCGGTGATGTGTTTGTCGTTCATTGGAATAATAATAATAGTAATAATAATAATGATAATAATAATAATAAAAGTATGGATGCTTATTCCAATGAAAAAGATAATGTTTCAGTTAGGACTGAAAATTCCTCGCTTGTAATCCTTGATGCGGTAAAGTGTCATTCTCCCAAGACTGAAAATGGTTATAAAGCGATGCGGTGGTCACAGAGGAACCTTATGTCCTCAGAAGTTAAAGTATATATTCATTCTACATACCCTTCTATAAAAGATGTTGCAAATGAATCTCAGATCTTTTTATATGAACAGTTAAAACATGTACGAGCTACTGTATTCTTAAAAACAGCAGCAGTACCTTCTACTGAAAGGAATACATATATAGATGTGGGTAGTATGTTGGTTTCAAAGGGATTAGGTCTTGTTCGACAGATTGTAGATGCTGGAATCCCTCGTGCAGTAAATTTTTATTCTGTTCTACGAGCTGCCAGTAAATACTGTAAAAATAACTTCACTTTAGATCTGGAAAAGAGAATCTCATATGAGGTTATCTCTCCGGATGTCTCGTCAACATTAAAAGAGTTCTTGGGATGTGAGTGGAGTCGAGAACCTTCTGTGGCTGATCTCTGGCGTACAATGATGTGGGATGGTGATATCAACCACGATGCCCATCGGGATCTTGTTCACATACATCTATACTCTCCTATGCGAGCCTTGTGGAGTATGGAGTTCTTACTAGAGCAGAAGGTTGCATTTGAGGGATATATTAGTGGTATAACCCCAGTATGGGAAGAATATAAAATGATGAAATATCATCATCATCAAGAAGAAGAAGAAGAAGAAAAGAAAGATAAACGCCGTCTTTTTCTTCGTGTAGAGGTAAATGCTGTGATCCCTAGGGAAATGGTTTGTGATTTATACGAAAAGGCTAAAGCGAGTTCTCTTGGTTATATTTTTATATCCCCTTCTAATAAAATCATTTTTGGCAGACAAATGAATGTGACGATTGTGTATGATAGGTTTATGGGACCTGCTAAGTTAAACAAGAAAACAGTGCATCTCGCCGCTTCATTTGTTTCTTACTCACCGCAAGAGTATGATCCTGAGAAACACTCTCCTGCTTCTCCGACGAAAATGGCATCTTCATTAGAGGGTGAGATGCTAACATTGCTGACACTAAACCTCAGTCTTCCTGAAGAAGAAAATCAATTAGTTTTTGTGGTTGATGTTGAAGTGCATCTTGTTGGTGATGGAGTAGAAAAATTGACCAAGCGTCGGGTGTTTGTTCTTTCCTCCGTTCCTCAAGAGCTTGATGATGATGTTGTAGGGACATTGGACACTATTGATAATAATAAAAATGATGATGGTGATGGTGATGATGATGATGATGGTGAAGGTGATGATAATAATAATAATAATGAAGAGAAAAAAAATGACACAACGGAGATTCATGAGAATGGAAATGTATTAACCGGAGATGATGGATATTCTGCTACTATAAAAGAATTTCAAGAATGGTTTGATGCTTCTGGCAAAATTGCAGATAAATCATTTTATCACGCCAAAGTTGATTTTTATTTCGAGTTAGATCCTGAGAAAGTACGGTTGATGAATAGACATGGACAGAAGATACAGGAATGGATAGAGAGAATGCTGTATCGTGATGTATACTGTGTTCCAGTCAACATTGCTGTTGTGAATACAGATCGTGGTTACATTGGTGATATGGTGCTGCTAAAGCCGGAAGATGCAAAAGATGATGATAATAATGATTTTGTTGATGATATCAACAACAACTGGAATAAGAATACTATGAAAACATGGAGTGTTCTTCAGCAACTTATGGAAAAGTGGTCTCCATCATACAATGAGTCCCCAGAGAATAAAGAAAATATCTGGGCCAGATTGCCAGAGCTTGTCAAGGAAAGATATCATAAAATGTTTGAAACTCTTCAAGAGGAAGAGACAGAGTTAAGAAGTTGTATTATTGGTGAGTGGTGTGGATTACTCCAATCTATGAGGAAAGACTTCCATGATAAATTGAATCTAAGCGGCGAGAGTATAATGATTCCCGAGATTTTACTTTCACACAATACCGAATCTGAGACTGGGAAGAAAGACTTCTTATTGACTTGCGAGGATAATAATAATAATAATAATAATAATAATAATAATAATAATATCTCTTGTATGCGGGTTGGGGATCGCACATGTTGGTATCCCGCTGAATGCGAAACACCATTCACAGAGAGTAACTCAGATGATGTGAATATACATCTGAAGAACATCTCTCCATATAATGTTTCCTCACCTGTACGCCCAATGCTCATGCCATCTTTTCTCCCGCCGTATATTCCTCTCACGGCAGCTTCTATTTTTCCGCGCCAGTTATTCGTTACCTATTATAAACACCACAAGGGCATTGTGGCTCAATCACTTGGGTTGACAGGAGAAAATGGCCAAAGTCCTCACATTGATGCGGCTTTTATTCGTCTACCTCGGCGATATCTACGCCATATGCCTATTTCAAACTACGAGCGACTACCAATGGCTATGCGCAATGTGCAGCGAGGCTTCTGTGAATCTCTCTTACAAGGTGAAGTGCCAGTTATGTCCAAATCCTCAGAAACAACAGTGTATTATGGAGATGAGGAAATCTTTGCTTCACTCCTCGCTATGCTTTTAATGCTTCAACCAAATGATGGTCATGAAGAGAATGATAATGAGGATCAAAAGAATGATTGGAAGACTGTGTATGGATTATTGGATCCAAAATATCGTACTATGTGGGATATAACAGTACCTACGATTCGGTGTAATGCTGTTCTCTACAGAATATGGCCTGAGGAAAAGATAAGTCAGAAAACACCTATTTTCTATCTTGGTAAACGAGACACAGCAGTAAATAACGTCTTTGAGAAGCCATATTGTTCATTGGCTCCAAGTAGTAGTTCCATGAAACGGGCTCTGAGAGTCTTGGGATTTGAATCATTGGTTGTCCCTCAAACAGAAAATAATAATAATAATAATAATAATAATAATAATAATAATAATAATATCAACAGTAACAACACTAACAACAACAGTGATATCATCTCTAGTATGGAAGAAGTTGACGAAAAATGTCACCCAATGGCCTCTCTCGGGATTGGTGCGCAAACACTAAAGTGTAGTACCCCATGGCTTTATCGCCCTTTTCCATGGCTTGCTGTACTAGGAGACCCTCTGGTAAGCAGGGATGAGTATGACGCGGAAACTTTGGGCCGTAATTTAAATTCTACAAATGCAGTTAATATGATTCGTCGACATATAATGGTGAAATATATACCTATATTGCAAAAGGATAAGTATGGAAGGAGTCCATTATCCTACGGTCAAGTTTCACGACGCAGGATATACTCTTACTATGTCTCTCGTTCATCAAGAGGTCAAGATGTGAAGGATTATTTCTCCTTATTATTACGTCGTCGTGTAAATAATAATAATAATAATAATAATAATAATAATAATAACACTGATTCTGGTGGTTTTTCTGATGGAATATTGTATGTGAATGGAACAGCCAACGAACCAATGTACATATTCTATCAATCCCGAGAACAGTTTCGTTTTAAACTTGGTTTACGTTGGTCTTTTTTTGCATCTCATGGTAGTAGCACAACCGGTAAAGATCATAACGATGATAATGCGGAAGAACAATTACTGCAACAACTATCAGAAGTGGCTAAATTGATAATAGACAAAGTGGCGATGAAGACAGCAGAAACCGCAAAAGAAGGAAAAGATGAAAGTGAGACAACACCTTCGCGGGTATACCTTGATATGCGACTAGACTTTCACTCATCATCTGATCGTGCAAGCATTATGCGTATTTCAATTTACCCTGTAGATAATGATAATGAAGGCGATAGCGATGATGATGATGATAAAGAATATTTTCATTCGAAATACGAAAAGAAAGATGATCATAAAAAGTCTTCTCGTGGCGTTAATCCTTTTCGTCCTTTTGGAATGATCGGAACTGTTTATCGTCGTATTCCAAGTCATGTTATGTTGGTACAGTACTGTAAAGATTCGAAGAGTTACATTATTGACTGGGATAGCGACTATGAAAAAGAATTAACAGTATCTGTGAAGGAAGACATTGCCGAAGATTAAATTCAAAAATTTTTTTTGTCTTTTTTCTGTGGATTTCATTACATTTAGAAAAAAATGAGCTTTGGTACTGCTTTTTTTTTTTCTTCTTTTTATGAAAGATTGCGAAAAGAATGGTCGAGTCTTTTACGTTTTTAGGTGGTAAATTCTATACTGAAGATTTTGACGTTGAGGAAGAAAAGAAAAAAAAAAGTGTTTCTTTTTCACTTTTACAGTCTGTAAACAAAACGTAAGTTTCTGAAAGTCCACCCCTCAACCCACAATCCTCCTTCTCCACCCCCGAGCGGGAGGCGGGCAAAAAAAAAAAAAAAAAAAAAAAA